TTTCTAGGTGCGTACCACCGGTTTACGGGCGGCCTAAAATGTAGCTTACATTTTTGACTGTTTTTCCCATATGCATCTCTAATTCTGTAGACTCCATATGTTGCCTTTCAATTTCTAGGCGCATACCACCGGTTTAGGGGCGCCCAAAAATGTAGGTTGCATTTTTGGAGGTTCCATATTCTTAACGCCTTTTTGTGTTTTCCATCTTTTCCCCTAGACCTTGCTTCCTTCTCTTCCGGTTCTTTTCTGTATTTCTGTCCTTCTTCCTGGATAGAAATGGGCCCTAGGACCATTTCCCGCTTCTTGACGGAGCCGCTCCTGAGAATCTGTTACTACATTTTACTGCTGGCATCTTTCTTTATACTTTCCTTCCTTCTCAGTTACTGGGGGCCTTGCATGGACACTTTATTGGTTGTTTTTCCATATGCATCTCTAGTTCTGTAGATTCCATATGTTGCCTTTCAATTTCTAGGTGCGTACCACCGGTTTACGGGCGGCCTAAAATGTAGCTTGCATTTTTGGAGGTTCCATATTCTTAACGCCTTTCTGTGTTTTCATCTTTTTTCCTGTAGACCTTGCTTCCTTCTCTTCCTGTTCTTTTCTGTAGTCTTTCCTTCTTCCTGTGGATACCAATAGGCCCTAGGGCCATGACCCGCTTCCTGACAGAGCTGCTCATGACAATCTGCTACCACATTTTACTGCCGTTTTTTTCTTTTTGTCTTCCTTCCTTCTCAGTTGCCATTCGATCGTAGGGGCCTTGCGTGGACACTTTCGTGACTGTTGTTTTCCCATATGCATCTCTAGTTCTGTAGATTCCATATGTTGCCTTTCAATTTCTAGGTGCGTGCCACCGGTTTACGGGCGTCTAAAAATGTAGCTTACACTTTTTGAGGTTTCACTTTCTTGACGCCTTCCTGTTACATTGTAATTTACTTTCTAAACCCCACATTTTTCTTTATTTTCTTTGCCAGGGCAGAGTGAATGTCATTACCGAGCACTCCTGACAGCTCAGCTTTCCGGCTTTCTCCGAACGCCCACATGCAAAGCATTTTACTAGCTGACATGAGGATGACATGCGCCTTTTCAAGGCCATCTTCGTTCGTTGATTATTTTTGAACATTCGCCGTTGCGGGTCCTCTTCCGGGAACATGGAGGAATCCACCGAGCTTTTGACAACTCGTCGACGTTTGCGCTGAGGCTTCCGGCCAATTCCATGCGGATTGAAGGCGAAGTGGGAAACGGGTAACGGTCGTCTTCTTTGGGTTCGGAAGAGTGCGGGGTTGGGGCCGGACAGTGTAAGAGTGTCAGAGATGCAAGGCAGAAGGGCCGCATCACAAACACTATGGTGTTCACAAGTGGCCCAACTTGAAAGTGCAAAAAACAAGAGGTTTTTGGCACTTTCCTTGCCCCCCTAGTTTTGCAACAAGCTTCAATAGATAGGTCACCAAGATAGGACCCAGCGTTTACATGCGTTTACCACATAATTGTCTTACAATTCCTACGTCACTAGCCGCGCTTTTCTCAAGAAATTG